GAGATAATGTAATGTTCTTTTCCAGTTTTTGAACTACAGTTGAATATACTTTTTAATTATTTAAAGAAGACATCTTTACAGAATAACGTGATGGTTTTTTTGTATAATGTATTTGATTTTGTAAATAGGTATTTCCTGATGTGATTTTTGTGAGAAATGCTAAATCTTTTAGTATATCATGTCCTCTCAAAACTGGCAGGAGCTAAATAATAGTTTGTGGGCAATTTGTATTGTGTACTGTACAATAACTGGGGACCTTTTATAATTATAAAAATATATATTAACTTTTAGTGTGTTGTTTAAAAAAAATGACTGGAACATACTAAAGACAGTAGGATTTTTCTGAATATTTCAGACTTGAACTCAGGCTAGCTTTCTTGTGTTTTTCAAAACGAAATTGTGTCTTGTCTTTTAAAATCAATAAATTTGTTTTCTTGTTACAAACACATCTGAATTGCTTCACTTTTTATATAACCAGATATGTTGGCTTGTGGTATTGTTGATTTTGAGAGAAAAATTATTTCAGATTATGCCTTTTAAATAAGACTAATTTTTCATTTAGCAGCAGTGGAACTAAGTGATGAACGTGTCTCAGACTGCAAAAGAATCTAATATTTTGAAATGTCAATTACGTAGCTGTCACATTCTCATAAATACAGATAGCAATATACTTACTAAATTCAATATTAACAGTAATTTCCCATTACAGAGTCAGATAATTAACAGCTGTCAGTGAGGGGGGCATGTGGACTTTGGTCTCCAGGAATCAGTGCTATCAGTTCATTACCAGCATAACCTAATTCTGAAAGTTTTGCTCTAAATATTCTGCGATATGCTAATATATTGATGTTTTGGTAATTTCGCAAAATATAGACAAAAGCCTAATCCTATCACGTCATATCTCTTGTGGGTCTCTAGTATGTGCTGGAGGCACTGTTTCATTCAAAGAAATACATGATGTTATTTTAACTGGGGAGAACCCACTGCGTAATAGGTGCTAGAATATCAAAATTACTATTGGATACCACTCAAAACTGTGGTAAAGACAAAAAAGCTGCATCCAAAAGCTTATTTTTCTTAGGAAATTCATCTGTAAGCTATGGTTCTAACACTGCCTATCTTATAATTTCAAATAAAGACCAGAAGCTTGGTTTAGTACAATGCTGATTCTTACAATGCATTCTATCAAACAAGAGTGTAAATTTTCTGCACCAAGGACCAGCCACACCTATGTTTACAGAATACTCATAATTGGTTCACTATGAAGACTAAGACTTGATTTCCAAGCTGATGTCTTGCTAAGACTTAAGTCTTGTTCCAGCACACATGCACAGGAAAGCAATCTGTAGAGGGACATCTCCTCCTAGAGGGTTCTCACACCAGCCAACAGCTGATAATAGCCAGCAAGCTATGTTACACAGTTCTTTTCCACTGACAGTGTTACCAGGAAGACCCAGCAGAATTCAGCCTCTGCTGCTGTTGATATTAATTAAAGTGGTTTAATTAGCTAATGAGTGAAAGTTTAGTTCAGCCTACAAAAGTAGTACAATCCAGACCTCAAAGCCTGAAGCACAGCTGACATGTAGGAGAAACTTGGTTTGGAAATACTGGGTACTACTGTAAGAGAATGCACGTATAAGAAGGGTAATAAGTGAAGCTTATTTTTATTACTTCTGTGAGGTTATTTTCTGCACAGTCTTAATGATATCAAATAAGTGAGATACATTCTATATTTCCTTATTTTAAGTGTATTATCTATAGCATTCAATTCAATTATGTAACATATCATGTAGGTTGCAGCAATTAGTGTGCATCAGTTGTTTAGTTCTATATCAAGGACTATGCCAAAAGCAATGTGAAATATGTCAGTTATTTTTCTGCAAAGGCATCTGACCAAGGCAAGGAAGAAGTTTCTGGCACTGTTAACAGTAGACTAGATGGAGGTTTTATTCTGACTTGATTCTGCAGATTTCATTCCAAATTTTGCTAAATTCCATTATTTGTGTTCTTCCCCAGGACCTGAATTAACCTAACCAGTAGGTCTTCTCTCTTAAAAAACCCAACCCATTCTTGACTTCAGTATGCTGCTGATGACAGTTTAATCTAAGCAAATTTATAAGCAGAACTGTTGCTAGTAAGAGCATATAGACATTTTCCACTGACATAGTGCACAAGATCAGTTCTTTTCCACCACTTTGATGGTCAGAGTTTAGGGCAGACGTTGTAGTTCAGTACTTACTTAATAACTAGTAGTTAATAACTGGGATATACTTTTGGAAATCTAGCTGGAAGTGGTATGAAAAAAATTGCAGCCTCAAGCTGTTTTCTCTCTGCAACTGGATGTTACCTTTTCCCACAGTGGAGCCACACTGGACACAGTGAATGGTGTCGTGGCACAGTTCTGACTTAGCCACCTTTGCTCAAACTGCTGCTAAAAGTGGTCTGTGCTGCGTCTGCTGCTGTCAACATTTGTTGGTTAGAAAGTCCTGACAATTTGCCAAAAGCACAAGAGTGCTCAGACTCTTTATCTTCCTTCATGAAATAATACTGGTAGAAGCATATTTACAACACTTGAGTTGTTAAAGCACAGTTTAACAGAGCTACTGGTAATACTGTGAATACTGTTAAGTATGCACTTAAGAAGGGTTTGTGAACTGGTCCTTTGCTAGAGCTGTAACTTGAGGTTGTATTGTCTTCCACCAATATGAAAAGGTTGCAGAAAACAGGTGAAGAAGCTGCCATAACATCACATTGATTGAAGTTAGGATGTAGTTGCAACACGGGCATTGAATTTACAGGCCCATGGAAGAGAGAGGATGACTTTTGCTCAGAATGGTACAGTCACTTCCTTTCATTTCCCTAGTGTTCAACAGTTCCTGATGACTAAGAAAAGTTTAGCCTCCCCATCTTCCTCTAGTTTGACCCAAGAAAACCAAACAGTCAAAATTGAAAGATGCAGCAAGTATCATAGCGAGGAAATAGGACAGCTCTTGCCCGGAAAAAACACTTTCACCAGCAAAGGGAGGCTTGGAGCTGAAGAAGTATGGAATGCTCCCCAGGCTTTTGATGGAGGGAAGATAGATTCTACCTGGGATCCACCAGTGACTAGCATGAAACTAAAGCTTTTTCCGGTTGCTGGCATGACATAGCAAGTGGGAAAGCTGGTCACGTTGGTGTTGCTTAGCTGTTGGAATAATGCTCCAAACTATCTCCTGAATCTTGTTTCTTCATGAAGGAGATGTCCCCAAATGCTGCTTGTTTTAGAGCTGCCTAGTGCATTCTCTCACACTTGTTAGGTGCAGCTGTGTCTTTGCTATGGTCAAGGCAGACTTCTCTGAAAGGATTTTGAGAGCATCTGAGTATTACAGTCACAGATGTGACACACAATAGCTTTTGCAACCATACTTATCCTCAAAGCTTTCAAAGGTGCTTTTTTTTTTTTTTTTCTACAGGAAGAAAACGCTGAATAGTTCTGAAGTTAACTTTGGCTGTATGTGTGAAACACAAAAATGTTTTATCCATAAATATGGCTAATCGTCACCAAGTAAAAGATAACATTCTCTTCCTGTGGACTTCTTGTAGAGGGACTTGGAAAGCACGATCCTTCTACCTGTATACTTTACCTTCATCCACTTGTTTTGGCAAGTCCAAATCCATGCTGCTTCTGCACCAACTGCATTACATGTGGGCAAGAAAATGTTGTGTTGTAGGATGTTCTGCAGACAAAATTGCCAAAATATTTATTAATATCTATGCTGAATAATGTAAAAAGAGCTTAAACACAGTTACGCTTTTTTATTTTCTTCACATTAAGTGGAATTTAATTGATCTGAAATTCCTAAAAGTTTGGACGGACTTTTTAAAAACAAAACAAAACAAAAACAACAGTGATCAAGTAACCAGTCCATTATAGACAAAGCTTATTGCAATGTCTGAAAGAGGAAGAACTTTTTATCATTTCACACCTCCAAATCGTATACCCTTAAACCCATTAGGCAGGATCCTAACTAGTGGCTCTTTATTTGAAAAGCAGTGGGGGTCTGCAGACACAGCAGTCCAACGACTGAAATTCAAACACAGCTTTGACTTAACAGCACCAGTCACATTCTGAGGTGGTTTTTGCAACTGCCAATTCATGTAGCTGCCAAATGGACTGCCTGCTGATTAAGTGCTGGTTGGCCTGCTCTAGCCTTCAGTGTCAAAAGGAGAGCTTAACAGTAATATTTAATAGAATATATTGTTGCACTATTAGATTTGGTTCAGATTTCCAAGTATCAAGTATTTGCTTTAGCAAGGGATACTGAAAACGTAGTGTTTGTGGTATTAGTGAAGAAATAGTAACATTAATTTCAGACCTACTGATACTGCTGCCTCTTTTGATAGCCAATGAAAACCAAAACTGGGTTAAAAATTGTTTTCCTATTACTTCCACAGATCAATTTCGAAACACAAAGGTTGCATTCTACACAAAAAAAATCATTCACAGTGAGGTAGCAGTTTCAGGTGAGCAACATCATGTTTCCAGTCAAATTCTGATGGAAATTGCCATATGAAGGTTACAGCAGCACGCTGTAGGTTTGACCAGTAACCACTGAAGTTATTTCCTCACACTCTTCAACCTTCACAGTCTCTTATATTTTACCGGCATGTAGGTAGGGCGGTGGTCTAAGACGTATACCCAATCTTAACAACCAACCAACCAAAATATATATATTCTATAGCGGAACAACGACGCCTACTGCTCAACATTGCTGCTACACCTTTACGGTCTTGGAAAATAAAGCAGAGAGGGTAGCAGCACAAGGGAAGGAAAAGCCGAATTATCAGCGCTTTAGTGAGCCTTATCCTTTAACCACCACTGCTAGCGCCTGGCCCCGATGCCAGGCGACCACCGCGCACAGCCCTTCCCACCAGCGCTGCCCGCACTCGGTGCCACCGCGCCATACCGCAGCCTCCGTGCAGAGCCCTGTGCTCTGTGATGGGGGGGGCTGTGAGCACGGCGGGTGGGCTGCGCGGCCACGGAGGAGGCGCCTCGGCAGCCGGGAGGTGTCGCTGCCCGCCGCCGCGCTCGGGTAGGGGCTGAGCAGCTGTGGCGGGGGGGGTGAGGTTGCCGTGCCGATGCCCTGGGAGGCGCTTGAGCCGTGGAAGCGGTCTGTGGGTGAAACCTCCTCCGCGGGTCTCCTCCCGCCGCAGACGCCTTCCCCTGAGCTGGCAGGAGGAGCAGGCAGGCACTGCTGGCAGAGCGAGGCGACGGCGGTGTGATCATGGCCGCTCAGTCTTCGTCCACACAGCAGCTGCTGCGCTACAGCGTGAAGTTGATCTTCGCCGAGGAGGAGCTGTCAGCAGGGCTGAAGCTCAACAGCCCCAGCCAGACAGCCCTGCAGCTGGAGGTGCAGCTGGGAGACGAGGACGCGGACGTGACCGTGACAAACGGTTAAGTACCGAGCCCCGCGCCGCTGCCGGCCGCCCGCCTCGGCAGCATCCTTGCGGGGGGACACCGGCTTCGCCACCGGGGCAGCTCCTCTTCCCCGCTGCACGGAGCAGCGGCTGGCCCTGGAGGGAATGGCACTTCTTGCCTGGAGGGCTCAGGAGCGGGGAAGAGGCCCTGTGGCCCGCCGGGGTCTCAGCGCTGAGAGGTGCGGTGGGGAGCGCTGCCGCCACCTTCCTTCAGCGCCGCGGCGCCCTCGCCGTTAGCGGGCGAGGTGAGACGGTGCCGCGTCTCTCCAGGTGTGGGTCGGCCGGGGGCAGCGGCAGCGTAGGCCCGTGGGGTTGGTTCAGCTGTCGGAGCAGGTGTCTGTGCTTCGTGCTTTCCTCGGGCTCTGGGGCGGAGGACGTGGGACTGGCACAGTAATAAACTGGAAGCCCTGAAGTAACTCCCTCTGGCTTTGCTGCTGGTAGAAAGGCTGTGGTAAGGTAATGTCTGCATGCACACAGTGCCTCAAAAGTAATTCTTCTTTTGAAGCTGTGCCTTTACAGGGCAATAGCGGAGTTGACACTTTAAAACAAACTTCTTGAATCTGGGTAGTCTGGGAAAAAACTGAAGTTGTTGTATGTATAGAAAGTAGTTGGAAATGCTCTCTTTGAGGTGGGTGAATATGACACCAATCCTGAGCAGGCAATACCTGTTGTGGCTTTAATTTTTCTTACGTGGTCTCAGTAGCTTCTAGAAGGATTGGTGGAATAGATGAATTATAGTCATGGGGTTTGGACAGCAACATAAACAAATCAGTTCATATGCCAGTTGCTACTGGATTTTTGCTTCTGCTGTCAGTCATTTAACATGTCGTTTAGGAAAGCATGAGTGACAAAAACTGATCACTAATCACAGTTAAGACATGATTCTGGCTTGCATCGTATTAATTTGAAGACTAGCCTCTAGTTACTGTTCTCCTGGTCTTTCATTCATACACACATTCTCGCATGCATGCAAATGGAAGACCTGCTGAAAACAGTGAAATTCAAAGTTGCTAGATTTGTGGGGGGTTGGGTATATTGTGTTTGAGGGTTGTTTGTTCATTAATATTATTACGATTGTCATTATCATCATCATCGTCATTTCGAAGGGTTCACATAGGACACAGCTGAAAACAAAATACAGAGGGGAGATGTTCGGGTTTTTTTAATGTGCAACAGCGCTGGATTGTTGTTTATTAAAGGCTTGTTTGATAAGGTTTGGATGAAGGGGCATCAGTGCATTGTGGTTGCTAAGAGAGGGGAAATTTGCAAATCTGTTTTGAGGTGTGAGCTGTCTTTTTTCACCTTTTCCCTTTCATACAAAGATGTTCAAGCTGTACCCTATCAGATTCCATACAGAACATGAATCCTAGTCATATCTGGGAGTTCAGTAACTTGTTGATTGAATACATTGTGTATTAGGTGAGAAAACAAGTCTGCAAACAGCTTGATGACATAGCCTGTTATGAGACTGACAGTATAATATAGCTTTTCTATTATTAATATCTGCTCATTAGAATGATCTTACTATTATTTATGTTGTCTCACATAGGATGGACAATTCTGCTGTGAAAATAAAAACTGTTTTCTTACAAATCTTGACCAGAAGTGATCATACTGTGGTGCCTTTTGTTGTTGGTAAGATACAGGTTATTTAAACAATAAAAGAAATCAGCATAATTTGAAGTGTTGACTTTTTTTTTTTCTCCATACATCACATTGAAGTGATGAAAATTACTTCCTTTTCAGTCTCTTTATCTGAATATGCCTCCTGAAGCTATGTATTTGATATGTTTGGAAAAAAATAATTTGGCTGTAGTTACTGCGATTTTTTAAAATGTGTATTGAAGGGGGGTTGCTGTTTTTCTGACGATTAAAAAAACCCAGAAACACAAACAAACAAACCACCAAAATAAAATCCCCCATTTCTAGTTTAGGATACCATTGACCTTCTTCACCACTAAGAGAATATTTATCACAAAACATTTTTGTGGAAATGAAGCAGGCGCTTCTTATGTCTATTTTAAAGTAATAAAATGCCCCTGTCTCATCAGAAATTACTCTGGGTGCATATCTGTGATTAGACTGTTCATCCAGATTGCATTTTTACCCTTGTTACAGCATTCAGTTTATCTGTAGTTTTTATACTTCACCTATTACTGCTGTATTTGCCTGAACCTGTTCTGTTACTGTCTGTAATGTAATAATGGCAATTGAATATAAAGCTAAGAATGTAGACTACATTGCATACCATAGTGTACAGTATACTACTGGTATTCAGAGTGATGTTAAAGGCAAAGTGTGAGTGGGTTCTGCTGTGGTTGAATGGCTGCTGTAGCTCATGCTCCTTACTAGCAGTGTCAGTAAAAATTCCACCAGCTCGAGCCTTAACATTTTCCTTTCATGTGGATACACATTGTCACAATACAGTGTATAAAATCAATACAACCACTCTGTTCCCCAGAAAGGAACCAGGAGTAGTAGCATTTCTCCCTAAGTAGAGCAACTTGTTATGATCCAAAGAGATGCAGAGACTGACAAATAAATACAAGATGCTAAAACAAGAAGAATTAAGGATAATGCTTCATCAGGCAATGGATCTGTGTCAACTGTGGGACAGGAGAAAGCAAGAATCTCCACAGTGCAGTGTTAATATATACAGTGGGAAGAAACAATGGACTTTCTAAAGTACAGGTGTCAAATGGAGCAGGTGAGTATACTTACAAGTGCCATGCAGTGAGGCCAGCGCTGAGCTGGAGCTACAGCCATTTGAGAGAAGTATCCATTAGGGATACAGTGGTTTCTGGTGAGCTGTCAACTCAAGGAGACCTAGAGTTGAATGCCTCTTGTTGGGCAAATGTATTACCGGTAAGATAAATGATCACCTGGTCATACTGATTTTCTGTGATAGCTCTTCACCGCTGATTTGGAAATGACAATGTAGTGTGCAAAGCTATTCGTGAAAGGTAGCCAACTGCTGCTGAAAAGAACTCTGACCTTGGGTCAAAATATATTTGAGGGTGCTGAACAGAAGAAGAAATCCTGGTGACTGGTATAGTGCATTGCTTTTGGAGGATGTGGTATTAAAAATGTAATTTATGTCTGGTTTATGGAGCGATCATAGGAGAACTGCAGAAATTCTGGTATAAATAGTGAGGACTTCTTGGAAGAAAGTGGAAAATTGATGTCCAGGAAGTATTCCCAGGAGACTAAGAAAATCCGGGGCTGCAACCTACTTCTATCAAAGGGAGTTTAATAGAGCAGATGGCAGAGTGTCTTAAAGTTGCAAATGTAGCAGTGTGGTGGCTTCTCCAGGGCTGGGAGACCTTTTGGATATTCCCTGTGATAATTGGTATGTAAACAACTGGAGATGTTAAATTGAGGCCAGTGAAGTTCTAACTGAAGGCTTCAAAGTTTGGCAGTATGGAGGTTTCTGGAGGTTTCTCCTAGCCACAGCAGCTCTACTTTAATTCTGTTACATTCTTGTTCAATTGCTCTGAAAGGCCATTAGCTACTGTTTCTCTCAAGTATTTTTTTCCCACTTCAACTGATAGCTCTTCAGGCTATTACAAGAAGCTTCCTTGAACACTCTCAAAATCGTACCATGAAATTCTTGGAACTGAGTACTGATTTCAGTTCCTTTTGTTTGTGTATTATTGTACTTCTTTGTACCTTACAAATATCAAGGACATAAACACAGTCAGGATTCAAGCTTTCAAAAAATAAAGCGCGTTTGACTTCCCCATACCTAAAAGAAGCAGTTAACAGTAAGCTCAGGCACGGTGCCTTTAATATAAAACAAGGTTTAGAGCTATTCAACCTGAGGACATGAACCTGGCACCTAGCAGATGCAGCATCTATGTATTTTAGCACTGAAGTGCAAATTCTGTAGGAGCATGTATTAAGCCAGCTTTTCACTCATTATATTTTGCCTGTGGTTACTAGGGAAAAAACAAAATCTCCTATCTTTTTTTTTATGAAAGGGTTATTGGCTGTACATCTTAGGAGTGAGTGAGTGAGGGAGAGACAGAGCAGCTTTGTTGTTGTTTTGTTTGTTTGTTTGTTTCCTGATTGAGCTGATACTTTGACATAATTCAACAGCAGCCTCGAAAAAGATGTAATTTTTCTCTCCAGTTATATGCAGAATAGAATCAGCGATACCTAACTAGGCTGCTTTGCAAACTGTCTTTTTATTAAAAGGACCTGGATAGGAGGTAGGTGAAACCGAGAGAGCAGAGCATCTTCAGTTTGAAAAATGAGCAAGCAGTCTTTTTGGAAATTCTGATTATTTCTTACTCCTTACCCTCCATGTTCCAGTGTCTGCAATAAGCTTGCTAGTTGTAAATGACAGACAGATGGTGAGGCTGGCAGATTATTTTCTCTATCTGTTCATAGTTGAAATAAGATTAGGTCTGCAATAAATTCGTGTTTGTTCTTTATATGGGTTAGGTGAAGTCGAAAAAGAAAAACTTGGGTATTACATATACAGGAAATTTAGAGGGCAAATGCTATCCTTTTTAGACTGATGTTACAGTGTCTCCACTTATGTTTAATTACCTATTTATTTTTAAAAAATACTGTTTAATTATTGCTGGTCCAAAAGTATGAGCATCTATAGACAGCTATGAACTTCGGAAGAACTGGTACAATAAGTTAAAGCCCCAAGGAAAGCCTATTGTATTTTACAACATTTTCACATCATTACTTGTATTTGTTTAAGATTCTTTACATCTTTCTTAAGAACTGCCTTTCTGAGTTCCAGTTTTTGAACTCAAGGAAACGATACCCGATTTTTGAGCTGATTTTATTAATAACACATATTTTTTGTTTAAAGATATCACCTGCTCTTTCTTTTCAAGCTAGTTCTGTGTCCCCAGAAGCAGATGGGAAATTCGTATTGACTTCAAGCGTGTTGATCATGTCCCAACTATGGCAGAAGACAAGCTGCAGACAAGCTGAATGGCCACTTGACTCTCACA